TTTTTGTAAAATATGTACTGAATGAGAGGCATATTCTTTAAAGAAGGACTCAGCTATATTCTTATACATATATATGGTATTTCACGAAACGCGGGCCACATCGCTCCTGTGGAAAATACGCATTGTACAAAAAAAAGAAGAAAAGAAAAGAATGCTAATGCAGCGTTGGCCTCTGCCGAAGGGCACATTTAGAGGAAGAGAAGAGCGTTTCATGTAATTAGGGTAATATTGATTGTTAGTAATTAACTTTGTTATCAAAAAACTTTAGGCTATCATTTCGATTGGAAACAAACGGAACATCATCGAAAATTATTAAATTAATCCACATTATTGCAGCATTTTATGGCGCAAAAAAACAAAGCAAAAAAACTCAATTTGGACGCGTTAAAAAAAAGAAAAAGGGGGGGGGGGGGAGTGTTGCGAGGAACCGCAAGGAAACGGAAATATAAAACTAAGCTAGACACAGCACCACTTTCTACTGCCTACATAAGACCGGTTCTAGAAAACAGGACGACTTGGTGCTGAAGTCGTGCGGCAAAGCCATGTAACATGAAAAATCTAGCTCAATTTTACTGAAGGTTTAATGGCGTTTCACTTTTTTTGGTGGTCATATGATACTCGATTTTTTATCAATGTTCTACCAGCACAGGTTTATTCAACACACTGCAGACGATTAAGGAGAGTTCAAAATAAATAAATGATAGAGATTTTTTTGAAGATTGACACACAATTTTGCCACATTTAGAAAAATGATCCGCCTTTATGCATTAATAAAACTAATAAAACAATAGCTATGCTTACCATTTTTACATATCCGTTAATATATTTAAACATGTAGATTTCAGTTCATTTTACACCAGTTGATTGAAAGTGTATTATTGGTAAAAAAAATTTGAATCTGTTCCTAAACATGTTTACCTAAGGTGTTTTGTCACTTTAGTTGCATGGAAACTTTTTATAGTAATTCTGAATATCCTGTGTACATGTTTTAAATGTTCCTACAATCAGTAGGAAAATTATTACTACGTGCATGCTTCGTTGTAAAATTGACGGTTGTGCGAATTACCAGAGTGATATGTAGGCAATATCCGGGCCTTGATTTTTGAAATTTTATATCTCCGGAAGAATTGTAGCTGCAATATTTATATACAGCTGAATGCTCGTCCCAAGAACGTAACTTTCGCTAGCGATTTTTGTACCTATATATAAAAATACGACCCGTACCATAGTTGTACGGTCTGACATGAAAACAGCGAAAAGGGTACGCTCATATATTAAGTAAATACATTGAACTATTGCTGTCTGTGTGTGTGTGTGTGTGTGTTTGTGTGTGTGAATATTGATTGTTTTAAGCACTAAGGCTGAAAATTAAAATAATAATATAAAAATACTAAACTATGTTAAACGCTAAACTTAAAATGCAAATTCGGCAAGAGTAGCTCCCTAAAAAGCAAAATTTGCCTTGCAAAGATAATTGGCAAACCAGTTTACATTCAGGCGAGCTGGTGAAACGCCATTATAACTAAAATCAGACAATATAAAAAAAGTCGAAGGCTCATCGAAAGAACGCGCATATATGCGCCATTTAGAGAAATGCAACGTCGCTAATAGAAAGCAGGTGTATGTACGTACATTTTTGATGTACGGTTCTTTTTTATCTCTTTATTTTTTTTTTCGGTGTCTCAGGTTTTAGTATTGCTTATAATACTGGTTTCGAAAAATAGCCTTGAATGAAATCTTACTCAAAATAAACGGATAAACACCAAAATCCTACGCTAAAGAAGTTCCAACGTTATTATATTTCTCCGGTATAGAATCGTCGACATCGCCATACCTTGCGAGCGGGTGTTCGGTCATTAAGACACGGAAGTAGACGCCGTACTGACCGCTTACTCACGGAGGCTATAATTCGCTTCGGGAACACGCGGGTTCAATTAATGGAACCAACAGAACAACTTCAAAAGTGAAAATAATTAGGGCATCCCTGTAATTGATCGGTTCAGCGATAAAAGAACACGTCTAGACAAGTGACATAACACCGTTCCTTGTCGCGATTTTCACGCCGTCTGATTGGTCCTGTCCACTCATAGCGTTGGCTGCGTTTGGACTTAAGGCGAACCGAAGTATAGCAAAATGTTTGCCACAATATTTAATTGCATGGAAAATTTTTATAGTAATTCCTTAATATCCTGTGTACATGTTTTAAACGTTCATACAAAAATCAGAAGGAAAATTATTACTACGTGCATGCTTCGTTGTAAAATTGACGGTTGTGTAAATTACCAGTGTGATATCTAGGCAATATCCACGCTCTGACTTTTGAAATTATTTATCTCAATTTCTCTTTCCCTAACTTTATTGCAATAAATTCAATAATCCCCTTCTCCCCTCTTCGTTCTCAATATTACCACGGCTGCACTTGTCAATGTTCACTCATTCACTTTATATATGCGATACAGCTTGGCCCTAGGGGAATGAGTGGTTCCCTAAATATCTTGAAAGACGGGCCCTTTCCGACGTTTGCATGCTAAGATAACGTGTCACTTCACTGCCGCAATTCGGAACTAGCGTGGGCCTTAAATCAGCAGCGGTTGTCGTCTACCCAGTTAAGCGAATTCAAAACTAATAGTATACAGAGAGCTAGTCAAAAATGGAGTCCGCCGAAACCAGTGGCCGGGATGGTCTATAGGTTAAGGCGTCATCCCGGACAGGCGAGGTTGCGGGTTCAATCCCCGTTCCTGGCCCAATTTTTCGCTAGCTCTCATTTTCTTTCCCTTTCCCTAAGTTTAATGCAATAAATTCAATAATCGCCTTCTCTCCTCTTCGTTCGCAATATTACTACGGTTGGACTTGTCAATCTTCACGCATCCCCATTATATATATATATATATATATATATATTGTTAGGAAAGACGACAACGACGACGACGACGTGGCGCCAGTGGCGCGCTCAGGTGTCGGCCGCTGAGCGCCCGCGCGATTCGACTCGGACTGACTTCACCTGGCTGCGCTGCGGCACTGACCATCATCTACAATCCCCCAATCATCTCATTAAATCTGCACATCATTGCCTCACAGGTTGCAGATCGAAGTTAGGACGGGTGCTGCTGGTCCGTAAGGAGGGGCGGCTGGCGTGGCGTGCCCCAGAGCAGCGCGCAGTTCGCTTCGAATTGCGTCCTTTATGCCATGAACGTCAGTATTTGTTTGGTGTTTGTCACTAGATGGTTGTAGCTGTGCGACAAAAATACGAAGCTCCTCGCGTATTATGGAGCGTATGAGCGAAGCAAGGTTCGTGTCGGGAGTTATTCCCTGGGACACCTTTGGGAGTCGCTCGAATTGTTTGTTTTCGAGATACGTGCACTATCGAGCTCTTCGCACTGTCGGCAGTCCGCTACCTGCCAGAACAGAGGCATTCCGCCTCTGTTGTAGCAGGTGCTTTTGGAGCCACGACGGAGGAGAGCGCTCGCGAAATGCCCTTGAAGAGATGGCGAATTTTCTCGTCCTCGGCCTTTTCAGCATCAACGCGACGGCACAGACGAGGCGTCATCAATGTATGCTGTTGATGTTTCTGTGGGTCTTTGATAGCGGCGCAATAGTTGGTGCCAGCAGCTGAGAGCCAGGCAACAGCCAACAGCTGACTGCCAGCCAGACCAGTGGCACACACCTTGCGTCTTCGATCGACAGGGTCCTCGGACTGCACGTTAACGAACAACTCGACCGCAAGCTGAGAAACTTCAAGGTCCGCTTTTGCAAAGACCGCCACCCGGCCGACACCGGCGCCAACAACCGGGGTGTGCCGGACTTCCTGCGTCGCCGGAAATTGGACCGGTTCGTCTCTAAGTCGGGCACGCAGGGAGCCCTCGCCAGGCGCTCGAGACTTGCTTGTTAGAACTTCGCAACCCATGGCGGCCCCGAGAAAACTACCGTAACGAAGACCGCTGCTAGGCCTAAGGCTCTTCACCCTCGTCAGCAGCAACATAGACCCCTTACCCTCTCCCGCGAGCTCCATTTCAACTATATTTTTTTTAAACTTATTTTTGCAATAGGATTTCATCATTATTGGACGCGGCGCCGCGGGCCTTTACGGTATGGGCGACTTGCCTCTCTGCGGCGTCGTGGCTACCCCCAACCAAACAAAATATGTATCTATCAATCTATCGATCAAGGGAAACTCACAACGCTCCAGCGGAAGTTTTTCGAAAATGGCGCCCTTCTAAAGAAAGCTCTACATATTACGAAACATGTTTCTGCCCACAGGATGTTTGTCACAGTGTCACTTTTAGGGTGCGTAGCATTTCCTGCAGATCTTTTATTGCAAGAAAATGGAGGGGCAAATTATTGTAAGGTGGACAAAAATCTATCCACTTGAAGTAACGTCTGTGAACGTTTAAGAATGATAAGTAAGCTAATAAATATGTAAAAGAGGTACGCTTCTATTTCTGACCATGACGGTAATCTTTCAAATATATACAAAAATTAACCCTCCCGGTATTGAATCATTTATTTTATGCGCTTGATTTTTTTAGTTTCACTTTATATCCGGTTGCAGCCGACGCTACGACCCGAGGGAATTAATCAGTCGGCGCCAAAAGCCAGTCGGGCAATTTAAATGCTCTCCGATTCTGCGTTTTATTTTTTATTTTCTTATCTGCGTGATTGGTTGCGCTCGTGATAGTGAACCACGGAAGATACTGAGCGCCGCGATAAGGCACTCGTGTAGCTGCTTGATATGCCTAATCGAATAGTAGCGTCGGTGGCTGTCGGACCTAAAGTGTAAAGGAACATAAACGTTTAGTTTTTTTTTTAATAATGAAACAGATAAAGTATTAGACATTACTGATAGAAATGACTTTACGACACGCGAGTCAGCACCAAATGTCTTTCGCTTTGTTACCCTGGTATGCTCCACCCTGGAAGTTATAGGCGAGCACATATAGTAGCTATTGATTTGTCAGCATAAAGGATGACACGTAAAAAAATAAAAGGTTGTAGTTGCTCACCGCGTGCCTCGTTCATGGAGTCGGCGACGAGTCGGTCAAATGGACTTGGTCCGTAGCCGTAATGGAAGGTTCCTCTCCACGCCGCCAGGTGGCGAAGCCGAACTCCGTGCGACGCTAGTGTCGCTGCCACTGTGGCTGCGACGGGACCCAGTCTGCGGGAGAACCCGCGAATAAGAATGTTGCTGCCAGTTCTAATATTGTGTCGACCGGTAATGGCTTAAAACGGCTATACTAAAAATGGTAGGCCAATTGCTACTCAATTGCATGCGTTGGATACGTGCAACTGTCTTGCATCACGACCGTTCAGCGATACTCCGCGTTTCTAGACGCCAGACGCCTATGTTCACGGCGCTCTTAATCGGATAGTTTAATGCCTGACATGTGCACACTTCATATTTTTTCTAGAGATAAGCGATGCTACCAATGCTCGGGCTATCTTCCAGAGCATTCCATACTTTCGAGTTCCTCTCCCTCAGTGCGCACAGATAATGGAGCTCGTCCGCTTCAACATCACTCCTCTTCGCCTACCCCTTTAGTAACACGAGCTCACTTTTATTTGGGCTTAACGAAATACCGAACACCTAGCCAAAGAACGTTTCACGTTAAAACGTGTGACAGGATGCCAAGTTCCCATTTGCCGGACCCAGTGCGGATGCGCCACGGGGCTTTCTCGCTAATAGACCATTTGCAGTATTCCCAAGCGCTTCGGCCCGCACTCAAGGAATCATGGGAACGGTGTTCCTTCAGCTCTCTAGTGATCGCTAATTTTCGACAAACTCCATGGTTACACGGGTTTTGAGAGTAAATCGCGGTCACCCTGAACAAGCACCTGTTATACCCCAGGGACCTGTCATATCACTTTTAAGATCGCTCGCCAACGTCAGCATTTTCGATACTGTGCATGCGATTCATTTTTCATCCTGGTTGAGCTGCAGAAATATCTTACAATATTATCATTCTCATGATTGTTGTTTGAGCAGGGGATGCTTAAAAACCGATAATTCACGACAACAAAAAACAGGATTTAGCTGGGAATCGGCGGGGCTGTTTATAGCATTTTTAGCGTTTCTAACTTAATATCAGCATGATAATAATGTAAGAGATTTCTGCAGCCCATCCAGGTTAAAGAGTGGACATTATGCACAGTATCAAAAACGCTGATATTGAGGAGAAATTTTAAAAGCGATAGGACAGGTCATTGGGGTATATCAGGTGCTTGCTCAGGGTGACTCCGAATTACGCTCAAAACCTGCGTACCTGCGTAACCAAGAATAGCGTCGAAGTTACCAATCACTAAGGGGCTGAAGGAACACCGTTCCCATGATTCTCTTAACGCGAGCCGGACACTTGGGGGATATAGCAAATGGTCTATTGGGACCTCAACTCCCGGTTATGTGTTGTGACATGCTGAAAATACACTCGCATATTAATCTATATGGTCTGGCTGCGATTCCCGCCTGTTGCAACCGCGTTTTTACTGCGATAGCCTCCTTCCCCCCCCCCCCCCCCTCACTCAAAAAGCCATCACTTACCGGGCTTCAGCTTTCTACAGGCTTCACATAATACAAAACAACTAGGCAAATAACTTTTCACGCTACAAACATATATTTCTGGACAATTGGAGCACGACTGACAAAAACTGGTTATTGAAAAAAATTACCTATGACTTTGAACAGTGATTGCTGTTATTTATTGCGTCCCCATAGAATGTTCGCCGGTTCTTTACTGCTAAAACAAAGAGAGCGCGTGCCGATCCAGGACTTCTGCACAAAAACCGTCTACAACCATTGAGGGCAGATGATGAATGCTTTCTAACGACGTTCGGAATCATCCTGCTCAAGTAATGTAAGAGTAAACCAAGTAAACGCCTATAAACAGGCGCGTTTGCCAATTAAAGCTGTGTATACTGCGCATGCGAACAAACTCGTTTATGATAGAGTAAATGTCCATGCGTGCTTGTTTCTAGAGACAGAACAACAGCCTTAAATTGACGTTCAAATCATGAATGGTTCGATTACACATCAAAGCAAATCTAGTCATCGGGGACCTCTCCAAATCCTTGTCTCAGCTCCATTTTTTCATAACTTGGTAAACTTCGAAAGCTACGTCTCTCACCGTGTTCCAAATTTTACTCGATCTCACTCTAGATTAAGGGTTTTGTACTTTGGACTTCCAAAACCTACCAGCGTCTAGCGCTAGCAATCGGTGTTGTCACGTGACGCGACCCTCCCGAGCAACTCGGATCCATTTCGGCAAGATATGGAACACATCCCCTATGAGCCTATAGGAGCTTCGAAGGAAATTACATGATAACAAAGCCCAGTAGGACGCTCCTCTGAAGCGGTGCTTCGTAGATGGCGACCGAACTAATTCTGTCTCATGAGACAGAACTAGTTCGGGCTCCATGTGCGAAACACCACTTCAGAGGAGCGCCCTCCGGGGCTTTGTTATCACGTAATTTGCCGAAAGAAAGCTTAGAAGAAGGCGTACCACCCTGTTCCAACAGGGTCGTACGCCTTCTCGTTCTCCAAGTTATCTCAATGCAAAAAAACATTTAGATTCCTTATATATGACCCAGTTTCACTAAATTGTTTAAGCGTGGGTCACATCATGCAAGACGTGTACATCAGAGGCAGTTGCCAATTTACATGGAGAAATATTGGTAGCAATAGACACTCAAAATGTAAAACAAGGAAAACAAAAACGGCTTTTCAGGCCTCTGTGTCAGCCCTTTGAATGCAAAGATGACGTCTGACCTTGCCGCATGTAGTAGAGCCACCTGTCGCCAGCCCATGGCGAGAAGTAGTGACGCAACCGACTTCGAAATGTGCGTGTCCGGGGGCCGTGTCCGAGCGAATGTGGGAAACCGGCTCTTGTCCGACGTCTCCCGGTGTATGCAGTACTGCGCAAAAGAGAAGCGGAGGAAGTACTGTTAAAATAAACTCCATCTAATTTATTGCTGCGTCATCCATCAATCAGTCAGTCAGGTGGTTTATTGTGGCTCCAATAGGTGGTCGGCCTTAGGAAGTATGTACGCACATGAGGAGAAAGAAGAATATGACGAGCTAGGAAATATGGGTAGTACACGTTTAACTAACTTTGTATTCCCTGACTTCCAACTTCCAAGCTAAACAATTTCCAATCTACATCACAACAGTAGTCCTCATCTTGTGCAATGTATTTATTATCAGTTGAATTTTTTCGAAGCATTGTGGAAGAAAAAAAAGCTGTCCCGACGGCACCGCCTCACCGAAGAGCGGGCGTAGAGAATGTTCTGAACCATCTTCGAGAAACACCGTGAGATGGCGCAAAATGTAAGGGGCTGGTGAAGGCCAACTGATAAGTAGTCCTTATTTTCGCACACGTTTAGAAGGCCACGCGGCGCGGTACCACGCCTGTGCAAGGGCCCCACAGTGTTAGTGCTCCTTGAGGGAGTGTGTGACCCACGAGTAAGCCTTTGCCACCTTGGCTGGCCTTGTTCAGACACCTCTATCTTCTTCCAGCATGGTCGCGTATTAAACATTTCGTGATCGTCGTCTTCACTGTTTGCGGAACCTTCAGGCGGACTCTGGTTGTGTTTTGTGAATTTGACGTACTATTCAAGGCATTTAAAAAGGAAATGCAATCTCTGAGGCTTAGTCGGCAGTTTTAAACCGTTCTAGTGCATGACTTGCATTGGCATTGCGTTAGCTGTAATTGTGCTGGCATTGTTGCACAGAGCGTACCTTCCGCGATGTAGATTTCTTGCCATTGATTGGGTGTTTCTCGGAAAGAATGCTTTTAAAGCAATGCCAACTAGCATAGTCTATGATTGTCACGTGAAAGCTGGAGCGATTGCTGAGCTTGACATTCTGATCATTTGTAATTTGTCTATCAAATTCTAACTTTTAGCAAGGAATGCGCACTTGAGCGACATTGGGACTGAAAACATGAATATCTGAGCATGGCATCATGATTGCCTAGAATATTCCTTACGACATTTAGTATCAAGCGTCTCAAGCGTACTCCCAGCGTTTTTTCATAAAGTAGCCATTTTGAGCAATTCTACGTTCGCCATGGTTAGTCTTAGGAATCTATCGCTGCTACCTGGCGGAACAACAAATCAAAAAAGTTCATTCTCACCAGAAACAAAGTACTGGATTGAAGGAATTTTTATAGTCTATTTTTGTACTGAAACTATGTGATAGTCTCTAAATTGCCAAGCTAAAATCTTTAAATTATTTCAAAACGCATGTTTAAAATTTGACAAAATGTGTACTTCTTCCGGAGTAAAATAATATCGCTCATATTAGCAAGTTGAAAAATATATTAAATGGGGTCTTCAAGCAACCCAGAAACGATAGTGCGTAAAATTATTTTGAACTTTACACAAGCTTACTGGAACTATTCTCTGTTCGCTCTTTAGCTGAGGCTGCAGTCGAAGCTACAAGCGCGAGCTAGTCGGCGCTCTTGGCTTTGAGACCTGCATTTCTAGTGCGAGGGCTCGGCCTGCGGAAGAACGCTTCAAAATAGAGACCACGAGTTCTCGTGCTTATTGGCATTGACTGCTGTCTCAGACTACGGGTCACCAGCGTATAATGGTGCCTAGGGTAACTAGAACTTGGACAAATATCATCACTGCCTTCCCTCTCTGATAGCCGCACAGGAATCGATACAAGAATCACTGAAAGAACAAAACACTTCGGAACAATGACAGGCAGCACAGTTAAAGGGGCACTCAAGCGGTTTTTGGAGAAGCTACTTTTTGGTGCGATGGCGTTAAGGAAGTGTCAGTGAATGAGTATCTTCAGTTTGAGAAGGCAGAACCGCCTATTAATCACGCAGGAATAAAATACGTGCGGACTCTTTTCTGTACTTGCGAGGACCAATGAAATTATCGTATGTTCGAAAATGTTGGCGGTCGTTGTAAAGTTTCGCTAAAGAAACAATTTTCAGTTCATTTAAATATGTTGTGCAAGACAATTTCACAAGACGTAAAATATTTCTAGTTTAGAATACGCGATACTGCAATTATCGTTTCACAAACAAGGGACTACATTTTCTCCTTG